AATATAAAGCTGATTCTACAGGCACATGATTAAAGACAAATGCATAACAATAGCAACTACTTACTCATTCATTACTGTTGAGGCAGTTCAAACTCATTCAACAGAAGCTCTCCACTGGAATTGTGAGGCTATAAATTTTAACAGATAGAAATAGCCTAGCTTTGTCCCTCAGTGGATTTGAACTACCAAATACACACATCCGTATCGTTAGCAGAGAAACACTCTACAGGCTATGTCAACAGAGCAGCTGGTACTTATAAATCTATGTTGATGGAGACACTAGTTAGAAGATGTAATTTGTGAGAAGAAGTTTAAAAAGAGGAGGCATAAGTGTGCAGGGAAACTTGATGCATGTTCCTTCACTCTCACTCACTCATTGCTAGGGAGTCAGAACTGTCTCAAAGCTGACTCTCCAGTAGACTTTCTGAGGCTGCAAACTGCACAGAGAAAACGGACCATCTTTCCATCGCAGATCCACTGGTGGACTCAAGTCATTCGCCTTTGGGTTGAGAGAGCACCTATATGTCGGACAAGCTAAACTGGCAGCATTTGAAACTAAAACCACACTATCATGAAGGATGATTCACAGTTACTCTTCACTCTATTGGGTTTCCAAGGCTGTCAATCTTTATGGGGGAGACCAACTGCCCATCTCTATCAAGAGGAGCAGCTGCTGGATTTCAATCACTGACCAATGGTTAGCTGCTCAAAACATAATGCTCTGCACTGCCAGAGCTCCTTAAATGACACCGTTGTTACTGTTAGGAGCCCTAGAGTCTACTACAACTCATAGCGACCCTATGAACAACAGATCTGAACCCTGTCCTATCTGGTGCCACTGTTGAAATCACGGGGAAGACTCATGGTCATATTTTGGTTCTTGTGAATGTGTTTTCATTTTCTTCAACTTCAATTTAAACTTGCACCTGAGTAATTGATGGTTGGCCACATAGATAGCACCTGGCCTGCTTCTGAATGCTGATATTGAGCCTCTCCAATGATTCTTTTCACAGATATACTCACTCTGACATCTATGTAGTCTATCAGCTGAGGTCTATGTGCATAATCACTGCTTCTTAAAAAAGGTACTTGCAGAATAAATTACTAAATGTATTAAATTCAATTATTTACTTTCCAGCCTCATTTCTGTAAACAACTCCATAATTTCCAACTACCAAGATGAAGCTGGAAAAAAGTATTGAACATACCATGAACTGCCAAGAGAATAAGCAGGTCTGCCCTGAAGAGGGTGAAACTAGGTTGCTCTTTGGTGGCAAGGATTTTGAAACTCCATCTTACAGACTTTGGGCATGGGGCCAGGAGAGATCAATCCTTGGAGAAGGATATCATGATTAGAAGGGTTGAGTGTTAGCACAAGACTGGAAGACCCTGGATGAGATGGATAGACATAGTGACGGTGGCAGGGGGAGCAGGAGTGTAAGTGATGGTGAGGTTGGCTCAGGAAAGGGGAAGGGTCAAAGCCACTGTTCACAGGGTCTCAGAACAGTCAGGTCTACTAGATGGCACATAACTTTGTTTCCAACTCTTGCATCAATTACTATTAACGCATCTTAACTGCGTATATGGTCAATTTCAGACTTCAAAAGTTGGGAGAATAAATGTAAATTAAGGATGCCAGTTATAAACACTTAAAAAAAAATTCTACCCTAAAAACTATACGCGGAAAAAGATAAAAGGAATTCAAATAATGTACAAAAAAATTCAACTAAATACAAAAGAGGACAGAAATAAAGAAAATAAAGAGCCTAAGAGGTATATAATAGCAAAATGGCAAGAGTTTTCCCCTATCATTAATTACATTAAATGTAAGTAAGTTCTCATATTAAAAGCAGAGAATGGCAGAATGGACAAGAAAATCATGATCAACAAACTACACATTACTTATAAAAGACTCACTTTAAAGGCCAAGGCACAAACAGCTTGAAAGTAAAAAGATGGGAAAAAAGAAATTCCATACAAATACCAAAAAATGGGTACCATTTTGTGAAAAATAATTCAGCAGTTCTTGAAAGTTACAACACAGAATTATCATAATGCCTAGAATTTCCACTCATAGATAGAAAGAGACCTGAATGCTGAAACTCAGAGTCACCTGTGTACCAACTCATCGCAGAATCATTTACAATCACCAAAAGATGGAAATAATCCAAATGTTCACGAACAGATGAATGTAAAATATATACACGCACACATACACATATCTGTGAAAATATGACTATACAGATATAGAGAGAAAAGAGGTTCTGATACATGCTAGGAAATAAATGAACCTTGAAAGCATGCAAATGAATTAAGTTAAAAAAATAAATAAAAGAATGTATGTTGGGTGATTCTACTTAAATGCTATATATAGAATATGAAACCACCACTGACAAAAGTTTGTTAGTATTAGTGTTTGGGAGATGGAAGGAATGAAATGTTATCATTTCAGTGAAATAAGTTTCTGTTTGGGTTGATGCCAAGTTAAAAAAATGATCCTGTGAACCCTGTTGGAGCTGGAACTCTAAGGGATTTGCCTTGTTCTTCTGGATCTTAGAACCCTGACAGGGTACCAACACTAATCTACACCAAACAACGTAGTATGACTAGTAAACAAACACTGACAAAATTTAAGCAAAGAGTTCTCAAATGCAAGTCAAATAGCTAAAATATGCTAGTTAGGCTGTCAAGTTAAATCTGACTCATAGTGACTCTACGATGATCTGAACCATCTTATCTTCTGCTATCCTAATCATCTCCGACACATCTAAGTCTACTGCTGCCGTCACACTGGGTCAACCCATCTCGTTGGTGATTTTCCTTTCTTTTGCCGACCCTCTTCCTCTCCAAACATCATATACCTCTCCAAGGAACAGCCTTTCCTTGCAACATGCTCAGAATATATGAGATAAAATTTCACCATCTTTGCCTCCAAAGAGCATTCTGGCAGCACTTTCCCCAAGACCTATCTATTTGCTTTATTTTGGTAGTTCATGGGATATGCAGTGCTCTTTTTCAACACCACCACTCAAAGACATCAATTCTTCTTCTGTCATCCTTATTCATTGTTCAGCTGTCAGACGCAAGTGATTAAAAAGACCATGGGGAAAAGCTAGAGAGAAGATTAATAAGGAAACTGAAGACTTGAACTGCAATATAAGGCTCCTCAGGAGGTCTTGTGGCTTAGTGTTGAGCTTTGCTACCAACCCACAGGCATGTGCATCAAATCTACCAGCCTCTCTGCAGAAGATGGGCTATCTCCTCCCACACTGGCTCTGAAAATCTACTGGAGGCTCAGTTATAAATTGGTTCCGTCTCAATAGTATATAACAACAAAATACATCGATAGACCTAACAGACATATGTTGAACATGCTACCCAAACAAAGCACACAGAATATTCCACAGGTACACACAAAACACAAAGCAAGTATCAAACTTCAGAGGGCTGAAATCATCCATACTTCTCTAACCACAATGCAATGAAGTTGAGTCTCAACATAAGGGAAAATATATAATTCACAAACACATAGAAATTAAACCAAATTTCTTTGAAAGACCTATGGATGAAAGGATAAATCCCACAGGATACAAAAAAATACTTACAAATGAATAAAGGCAAAAAAACAAAATACTAATTTTGATGCAATACAGAAAACTTATGGTTGGAGGGAAGTTTGTAGCTGTAAACATCTATGTTTAAAAATGAACAAAAATCTAAAAAAAAAAAAGAACAAAAATCAGTACTCTAAGTTCTATCTCTTCAGGAAGTAGAATAAAAACAAGCCAAAAGGTAACATAAGGAACGAAATAAAAACAAAGATTTTGAGTGAAAGTAAACAAAATAGAGAACAAAACAAAAAAGAAAAGAAAAAAATCAAGGAAGCAAATGGTAATAGTTCTCTGAAAAGATCAGCGAACATTCCCAAACCTCAGCTGGACTGGCATTGAAAAAAGAGAAAAGACACAAATAACTAAAGTTGGAAATGAAAGTAGCAATATTACTTTGAATTTTATGGATATAAAAGACCATAACAAATAAAATTTTAAGGCAATGTATTGGACAATGCAGTTGGAAGAAATGAACACATTTCTATAAGCAGCTTTTGTTTTGTCCAGAGCTTGTACTCCAGCAAATGCTCATGAAGATTTATGCAAGCGCGGTTCAAAACCAAAATGCAATTCAATTCTTCCAGAGTACTAAAGGAAGTGGTGATGGGGAGATGTGGTCCTCCAGGGAAATGAGCAGGCGTAGTAGCTTGAGATCCTTGGATTCCTTTTAACTTATGGCTAAGACACTAGGACACTGATTATCACTACAAATTTAACACCTCATAAGGTTAATCACTTAGCAAAATTTAGCCGTGAACATTTCTTACTCCGAGGGTGGGGTATTGGGGGAGTGGTCAACATTTCTTTATATTCACTCATTGCTCAATACAAGATCATTTGCTCTCCTCCAAAACTAACTCAAATGTATCAAGTGCTTTCAGTCTTGGGGATTGTAAATTATTTGGTTCACAGCACAGCAAATAAAGTAACTTATTCTTATATTTAGTTTTCTTTTGAATGGGTGGGATTTTTTTTAACATTAAGATAGTCAATAGCACTAACAAGTGGCACCAGTATTAATACTCATTATAATAATTTAATTTACTAATAGAAACAAGCTAATGGCAGAGCACAGACTAGTAAAAAGAATAAAAGTAGCCCCTTCTAATACTTCTTGCCAATCAAAAGCTTAAGGAAGAGAAGCCTGAGGCACAGCAGATGCAGACTTCAAGCTGCAATGATACAGATACTGTCTTAAACTCTATTTGAATTTTATTTGCCATGTTTTTGCCATTCTCAATATGGCAAATTAGACATAAGACTTTGAATTTCCACCAATAAGAAATATGCCTTAATTACTCACTTTAAAAACATAGTTCAGCTATGAATTCATGCCAAAACAGTAGTAGGAAAGACAGAAGTTTGCAGTTCTTTAATGATTTCTTTTACCTTGTAAGTTGTCATTCGATGCTGAGCAATTGCACTTAGTTTTTCTAGAAGGCCTCGTAAACGCTCCTGCGTTGCGTGGGAGATCAACTTCACAGCATCCGAATTAAGTTCTGTAATGTCATGCTTTTTACCTGTGGAAGCAGAGAAAATCCATTACGTGTTTTAGTAGTGGCTGATAATTGAAATAATTAGCACAGCAGGTATCCTGTTCCCCCTGGAAGTCATACCCATTATGAATAAAGGTTTGGAGATTATGATTTTCCTGGTAAAGTCACAACTTCAAAGATCTTAGACATTACATTAATAAAACCTAGCCTGAAGCCTCAGAAAATATAGACATTGTTTCACTTAGCCTCCAGAATCATTCTCCCTGCAAGGTCATTTATAGGACAAAGTTAATAAGAACACAAATCAAGTCTAGTGTTCAGGGAGGAAAATGGTAACTGCAGAAATTAGCACCATATTCTGTTAATTTTAGTAATTAAAAAAATAGAAAATTACATTTTGCCCTGTTTGACACTGTTAACAATTTATGACATTTATTTCAATGAATGCAGATTGGGAGTCCGTTAATGCCTTGTCTACAAGACCTATCTTCTTTCAAACACTTCGAATCATGCTTATTTTGAACTAACTCGTGTTTTGTTAAACTGATCTGGTAATCAATTTACAGGGTGAAAGAGATTCAAACTCTCATCATTTCACCTATCTAAATTCTCCTTCATGATAGTACCTTTCCTAAACATCCTTCCTAACAAGAAAGTTTAGAAACAATTGGGGCCACATATTCCAAAAAAGTTTATTTATAAATTCACCTCATCAACTTTAAAAAAGTATTCCTGGGGCATCATAAACCCATTTTTATTTAAAAAAAACCCTAAATTTATTTAAAAAGACAAGATCACTATACAATCTCAATTAAATGGGCTTTTAATATTGTTTGTGTACATCTTTAACAGATATAGTCATAAAAACATTACTGTTTGACTTTGCACTCTGATTTATTTGAAGCATAAAGGAGTATACCCATATACTCCTCCAAGAATGAGAAAAAACAAATTCTAGATTAAAAAAATTTTAAAATATTGGCACATCTCTTTCACTCTTTGACTTTTTTTTTTTTAATGTTCTTATTTTTTTGTGCATTGTACCATCAAATCAGATCTGACTGGTACAGGAGGAGATTGTCCCTCCTTCTCCAGCAGAGCATCTGGTGAATTCAAACCAGGCACATCTGGGATTGCAGTGCAGCTTCTTGCCACTAGGCCACCAGAGCTTCCTTCTTGCACTTTTTCAATATTATTACATAAATAAAGTTTGATTCAAAATGCAGTCTGTGGTAAACCAGATAGGAAAAAGGTAATACAGAATATCTATCAGTACCTGAGTCTTCAAAACACAGTTTACTATTTTGAAACAAAATAGAATAATTTCTAAAGGTTGATTCAGTATGACAAACTGTCCCTCCAACCTGAAGGAAGGGGAGTTAATCCCTAGTAAATTCCGGTGTAAGGACATAAGGTAAAGAAGAGACTAGCTTTCAGCTGCTTAGCTCTATTTCACAAATACTGATACCTAACACAAGCAGGCATGTGGAATACACATATCTAAACCAAGGAAAGAATAAGACGAAGACAATATAGATGATATTTTATTTGTATAGTCCATCAGCATATGTACATATATTTCTTCACAAAGAAACGTGAATAAATTATTAACGTCTATTACTAAAACAAAAAACCAGTTAAGTAACAAACATTGACTTTTTAAATGAAGTACTTCTTTCTGTAACACCCATGAAATCTTGATCTCTTGTGCCTTTTTTAAGCCTCAGAGTTCCAAGAAAACCAACATAGGCAGTCTCTTTTGATAACATTTTCTTTCCAATAAATAATCCTATTAGGATAGGAATCATGTATGCGCACTCAAGTTTATTGCTGTGTTATCCACAATACCAAAGAGACAGGTGCAACGGTAAAAAGTACCCATCAACAAATGGATAGAAAATCTATGATATAGTCACACAATGGAATATTATACAGCATTGAACAGTAAACTCATAAAACAACATGGGTAAACATTATGCTGAGTGAAATATCTCAGTGACAAAAGGACAAATACGGCAAAACACCACTGCTATAAAATAGGATTGCCATGGGAGGCTGGGAGAAGAATAGGAAAAGAGTGGATACACAATGAACACTACACTGGAACAGATGAGGGGAAGAATGGTCTGAAAGGAATATATTAGGCATTTTATGTGTGACAACAATCCGGCATAAGAAATACACT